GTCCTTTTGTGAGTAAGTTCGAGTCCTTCCACCATTACCCTACCGTCCCATATCTTGATTGGCGACCCTGCTCCCCGTATGCCGATTGAAGCTTTATGGTATATCAGGTCTACGAAAGTTAGAAGATTGCTATGTTTCAGGTGATCTGTTTGCTAGTACGCTTCCGAAATTCGTTCTACATTTTGTCCTTATGGCCTAAATCAACAACAAAAGTATGCGAAAAATAGTCCTTCAAGCTCATTCGGATCACAGTGAAAGCGTTGCATTTACGCTTCATAACTGAACAGCGTTGTATTCAATTGTCCCACCGAGTAAGTTCTGCTAATGTAACGTGCAAAAATTTCCAAATTTCAATTGATATAACAATTTAGGAGATTTTGTCTGTTTGTCGAAGTGTGATCAAGAAGAGTCCAGGGGCCTAGCTCTGGAAGCACTGTATAGCTGCTTCGCCCTTGAGCGCTATATCGGGCGTGTGGAAAGCCTCGAACGGTCCTGTCGGACAGCCCAAATAGTTAGCTCGCTGGTTTGACAACCCCTCTTGTCTGGTTTTCAGTTCCTGTTGATTTGACGGATACACACTGCTATCGATTCACAACAGGGATGAAATACCCCTATGCGGTTCTCACAGGGCTTTTACACCATAAGCCACACATGAACTCGGCTTAACGAATGCATCTTGAGAAGTTTTTATCAAAATAGTAGTGCAACTTATACAATCATATTTCCAGGACAAACAACTGGACTATTTTGGGGATAGTTCTCAAATTTAGGGCAGCAAAAGCACACGATCTCTTAATGACAACATTCATAAACGTAGTAGACAAGTGCTGGTAAAATTCGATATCAACTTACACCATTCTTGGTAAGTTACTTGTAACTTCGGTACGCAGTGACAGCCTTCCCGGGCGTGGAAACGTTTCTCCACTCGTATTTTCCCGTCTGCTTGCGGAAGTATTCGTGTTCTGACCTCATTTGAACAAACTGGGCAAAAAACGGGCATAAGGCAAACATTTAACTGGGCTGATGAATTAAGTCTCGATTGCAACTGAAAATGTCTATGGGTTGAACCGATAAAGAGCTATCCGTTTATTTCGTTCAGTAAACATGGGTAAGTATATTAGCATGCGTTTGCAATCCAAAGCTTCGAGTTCCGAAAAATTCACTTTGACCAGAAATACCAGCGCTGAATTTAAAAATAAATCGTTAATAGGACTAAGGTTGTCAGGTACAATATCCATTTCAGAAGCCACTCCGTTCGCAAAACGGAATGGTGTAAACCATTACAGATTACCTCCGGTTTCACTTGACCTAGTTATTATCAAGTCAACACCAGATTGACTAAAATTCGTGGTCCATAGGAATCCTTAACTGCATTGACTGAAATAACGAAACCCGCCTGTGATAAGTAATAGATGATATAGTCTTTATTACACCTGCTAAAAACAGCTTGAAACCATAATGCAGCCAAGCTCATTGAATTTGCATTAACTCCGTTTGTCAGGAAAATAGGGTGAGTGGAATCGCAAATACACCGAGCAATTTTGAATTGATTACCAATCGGTTTTGGGGCAAGTTGATCGCGCGGAACACATTTGCCAGTGTGCAATTCGAACACGCGCATTCCAGACACCAGGACTCCTTTGACCGGGTCACATCGTTCGGGAATGGCCAGCGGACGGGGACAGCAGCAAACAACACGTTCCGAACGCATTTGACGTTTGCATTGACCCTCGGGCGTGAGGACTTCTCGGGACCAGAAGAGATGTTCTACGCAATCCGATCCACATTTAGTTTTTCTTACCAAACGAGGTTGTGATTGGCACTCTGTGGCAGAATGAGGGACCAGGTAAGGTGGGATTGAGTAAGAAGGCAGATGAGCTGTGATACCTGAGGTTTTACAGTTACTGATTATAACGTTTCATAGAAATATAAGGATGCACATCTCGCGCCTAACAGTGACAAGGTGCATTTAACAAGACACTGGGGTGAAGCAAAACTGTCATGTGAACAGAAACGTAAGACTACACTGCTGGTTCTTTAATCAACTTCAGGTTGTAACAACTGCCAGCTTGCATCATTTTTACACTATCACGTACTGATAAAAGTACTACAGGTTTTGCTGGTGAGAGATCCGGGTGAAACGAAGCTTTGTGGCTGATGGAGACTGGTTNTTTATCTAGAATGATCCAGCCTAGACAAGAAGACGGTATGTCTAGAAGAAAAGACATCACAATGGAGGTCGTCTTCTGGCTAACATGTGGGAAAAGTTGCGATAACCACCGGTTAGCTTGCTCCAGTTTAACTGCTAAGTAGCGCTGTTTTGTGATGAAAATCACATGAGAGTTGCGTAGATAATACCTCTTCTTTGTTTAACTGAATTTACGTTGTTGTTATGTCACTTTCCTCGTTCTGATATTTACCAGTAACGAGCCGTTCAAGCTCTGTGTTTAGAATCTCAAACCCCGTGGATGGCGCTAAATTAAACCACCTTGCAAGATGTTGATAGCTCTGTTTCCTGCTGGAAAGTCAGGTAGTATGTTTCGGACGTTGTAGCGGCAAGCAAAGCTTTCCAGATTATTTCTGGCACAAATTTCCGTTTATGAACTGGGTTTTTATCCTAATGATATTGATTATGGTTTTACAGCATGACAAAATGCACGCAACTATTTGTTAATAAAAACAATAGATATTTTCTTTAAGCACTAACCTTGTGAATAGAATCGTTCGGATTAACGGAAACTCACATTTGAATAATACTGGTTCTGAACAACAGGGAATAATGTCTCGTAACCGTTCTATCGGTATACCGTATATTTCCTTGTTTGTAGTCGATACTTATCAAATACAGAAGATAACTTCAAGGACACTGTCACTGATGATGACCTTGTGATGCGTGGATTTCTCAATAACAACAAACAGTGGGTCTAAAACACGCGCCTAGCACGAAAATACGTAGAACATCAGAGAAAAACCAAATAGAGTTGTGTACGGTTTCGGAAACTGCACTCAATCACTAAAAGGAATAATAAAACCTCGAAACAACAATACATAGGTTTTCAGTCAGAAGTCAACTTGTAATACCTTATTTCAGCATTGTGCTGAGATCAATAATGCACACCTGTGAACACAGTAATATGCACTATCTTAAAATAAATAACTATGAACCATTTCAGTCAACATTTGGACCAATTTTGAATTTACCTACGCACTTGTGGACTTTTACGTCTACTGAGTGGATACTGGTTCAATGCTGATGAGACTGAGTCATGTGGACAATATAGAACTGTTGAACCAGACCGACCAATCAGTGAAACTGCATACATGATTCAGTTGCCTTACAAACGAGTGAAAAAGCAAAATTTGATTATGATGTCATTTAGATACACTCACTGCATCGTCTCAAAGCGGTTTGAACTTGAACACGTCGTTGACACTGCACACTGTACGGGATCAACTGAGTCACGTGTTCAATTCCGGTTTCCCGATTGCATCGTGCAATTGTTTCCACTTTTCCCAGGACTAAAGAATACAAACGATGTCAAAAGAGACAGATATAGGAAAAAGTGATTTCCATCCACCGCATGGGTGTATACGTCTGCATAGACAGATATTACACTGCTACTCATATTATTTAGATCTCGCCGTGGTTACTTGCCTCACATTAAGGATACGAAAGATGATCACCATTGAAAAGTTTTCCAATGTAAAATTAGCATTGCATAAAGTTAGAGGAAAGCATCCTTAACTTGTGGTAAGTGCATGCATGTTCTGGTTCATATAATATTCAGCTTGGTAAAACACGAAGAGAATAAAAGTACATGGTGACCGCATGGATTTAATCAAATAACCCGACTGATGTCAATGAAAGTCGGTTTGAAGCAGTGAGCCAGTGAACTAGTACACCGTATTCTTTTCATATTTGAACGGGTCAACAACAGACAGCGATATATGAGCGAATAAATAAGAAGTACCGAATTAGTTTGAGAAAGTTCTGTAGTACGGGGTAGTTTATTTGATTCGTTGGAAAACGGAACACTTTGACAACAAACGATTAGGTCAGGTATGCTTGATCGAGAGGTAACAAATGTACATTGCATGGGCACACTCTGTACCATAAACTAGCGGTCAGTTTTTGTTTGTTTGTTCCAGATGTGCTTACTTTTCTATGGTGCTTTCTATCAGCCGGGTGAGCATTCGGTAATTCAAAATTCATAATTCCCAATTTTCATTTACCCGTGGAAAAGCATTCATACTGACACATTCTGTTCGATCGAAAAAAACCGGCCGGTTAGTTCACCTGAGATATAAGCTTTAGAAGTATAACAAGAAAAGGTGATATCCGAACTAAGTTACGTCCATAAAAGATAACCAAAGAACAATGAAATAATTTTGCTGTTTAATAGCCTTCGAGAATAAATGCGTCAGAGTCTCTCTGTTAGACCAATTCGATAGTAAAGTGGAAAATAACACCCGCAACTATAGGTAAAGGAACAATAAAAGAAACAAAACGAAAATAAAACTCACAAACTGGGTGACGGGTCTTGGAAGCAACAACCCGGTGGCAATACCTGCGGTCCGGAGTTGGCTGTCGAACAGTGCGAACCAATTCAAATACGCGGTTATCTATGCACCGTTTTTCTTCCATGGGTTCTGGATCGCATGCTGACATGTGGTTTATGGAGAAAGGAGGACCAATAGAGAAAGTATGCTCAAGTTTATGACGTCGCACGACATCCCATTTTTTACACCGTTGTTTAAGTGTAACTGGATCAAACCACATTTTACCACGTCGAACCCAATACCGATAGACGCAATAGGACACAACCCCAAGGAGATCAGTTTATAACATACGTTCTGTCGAACAGTGAAGCGTAAATTCCCTGCCGTCAATTAAGGGGGCATATCGCTTTGAGTAACCCAAATCGAATTCTTCTACATCTACGTTTCCAAAAAGTGCCTGAATTACGTGCACTTATTACCACTTTTAACCATCCGACAACAATCCCTGCCGTAACGGAACAGTCGGGTTGAACACATTAGTTTGCCATCCAAATGGCGGTATGGCTAACCGCATATTCATCGTGCTTTCATCGTACAATGCTGAATAGATTGGGGATCTTCCGGAAGGTAATTACAACAAACTTGGCACATGCTGATCTGCGGATATTTCAGGTGCGTGTGAGGAATATCCATTTCACTGAAAAGTAGTGTGTATGAACAGTAATGGTATATGCTGTCATACTTTGTGATTGATAAATTCGTCCGCTCGAAAGGATGATGTAATCGGATTGCAACAATCCTTACCTTAGCATCACTGTTCGGGGAACACAACGTGTCTAATGATTGGGTCCGACTATTTGCCTTAGGGGTAGGTAGTCTTCTTATAGAATTAAGTAATTTCACCGCATCATTTGAGGTGCCCGTGGGGCGTCCTACGAATGCCTACGGTTTATTGCAGACATGGGATCAAATTTAAAGAAACAACGAAGTTGGCAAGCCACCATGTGTTTTTGGTTTCCCTTAGGTCATCCCGGCTTTCAGTTTGGAGTCCAAAACATTGACATAGTCTTTGATTGATGACAACGGCATATGAAACTGATTCAAAATCTGTGGTTACGTTGCCTTTATTTGCAACCTCTATTCATGAACACCGAAAAGACCGACAAGATCCACAATCGCATGCACTGGCCTAATTTTATCCGCAGTTATCCTGCACTTGATGTATGAAGATTAGAATAAATATTTACAAAATTGATTTATGGTCTCTTAAGTGAAAAAGTCCATTGAACTGGTTTAATTGAAGGGAGCGGTCTTGTAAATCGGAGTGATTTTCGCGGTAGCATGACCTGCAGTAATGACCAGTGGCTAACCTGGCCAACCAATATTTCATCCTCAGTTTCTCTGCACGAGGAAGAAGGCATTCAATTGAAAAACAATTCCCCTATCACCAGTTAAATTCACAATTATATTCTGTATGATTTGGATCAACCTGTGTTCTCACGGAACATGAAAGTTGCCACACAAACCTGTTCGAAAAATTGAGTAGTGTACACAGACGAATTGATTTCAAGTTTTCTGAACAATAAAGGTTTATCAAGTTAAGACGATGCTGGAACACAGGATAACTTTTATTTTCCAGCACAACAATGACATAACCTTGTTATATCGCACCACGGGATTTCATTCCACTGTTCTGCGAAATCGATTCATTGTCCAACCGAGGCGCCTTGTTCCTTGCCAATCGGTCACATATAGAATCTGCACTGATCTTTGTGCATTCAGACCACAGTTGCAGTTCAATACTCATCTCAGTTTGTGCTCTAAATCCCGAATTTTTCGAATGTGATTACTCCATGGATACTGAAATGTCCTTCGTTGTAGCCCTCTACTAGCCATAAATGACAAATAACTATCAAAGCAACGGTGACATGTGCAGAATGTAAATGAAGGTCAGCTGGGAGCGGTTCACAAAATCCAGGCCCTGTGATTGTATCGCAATGAGCTGTGATGTGCTAAGCACAGTTTCAGATAGACAGATAGGCTTGGGAGCCAATTGTTTTGGGGAATTCGAATTTCTTATATATGGTTGCCATTTATTGTGGCCTACAACTGACTGATTAGTGTTTATACATGCCTGTGAACAAATTGATTGATGGATCGATCGGTTGATCGATTTACTGACTGTTTGAATGCTAGCTTCACCGCATTCGTATGTAGTGCGACTTGTGAACCGGAGTCTGCCTGCCTGCCTTCCTTCCTACACGCTGAACGTTCCTGCTTGTTCCCCTATTTTTGAACCGGCTACTTATTTGCTGTTTACAATAAACTTACCGCTTACTTCGTTGTGTGATCACTTACCTACTTAATTTGAGACACAACACCATTGACGTAAATGCTAGAGCGTTCTATGGGTTTTGTGATCAGTCACAGATGGGTAGCTCGTGTAAATCAGTTCACTTTCTTTCAGTTGCTTAGTATCAATTTTACGAAACAAGTGAAATTGTTTGCTCAAAGGTTTCTGTGCCTTTGGGGTCCTGCGTTTTACGTTGGGATTTACCTTCAAAGGCGAGGAAACGCTTGAAGTAGTTTATTTCTACTACTTTCTAAACAGCAAACTGACATCCAGTGGCAGGGCCAAGGAGGGACAAGCGTCCTATGAACGACTGCAATCACTTATAGCCAGTGAAAATACGACCGAGGTACCAGTCCCGCCAGGGCAGGACAAGACGGGTCGCAAAATCTATTGCTCACAGACACACACACGCACACACAAATGGTGTTGTCAAGTTATTGAATATACTTTAGGAAAGCCTAAAGAGCAGCCTTCGGTCAGCTGGTGCAGAAGGATCATTATCGTTAGTCCATTGGAGTATTAAACTAAAAGAGTGGGCAAAATTGAGGTCGTCGAACACTTAAGATTACTAACTCATCGCCCTGGAGGACGCGTGTTCGAACCCCACTGTCATCCTTTAACATTCTTCATTTTCTGTGTATAGCAACCTTTTGATTGACCGCACAACTGTATATATTCAATAAAAAAGAAATAGAAAGAAAAGAAATAGAAAAAAGTCAGTTATTTAATAATTTGATTCCACTTGAGGATTTCTGTTACGTTTCTCCTACAAATAGTAGGGTATTATAATGTTTTATTGTTTATTTATTTTATGCACTATTGGAAATATTTATCGGTCGTTCTGGTTCTCTACAAGATGAGTGTACCTTACAACTGAATTTGGAGAAAATGAGAACAACAAGCATCTCAAACAGTTGAGCACCTTGTAATGATTATTGTTTGCAAAGCTGTCTGCTAACTCAAGTATCATTTTTCACAGGGTATCGGAAATAGCTGGACTTATTTTTCTGTGTTTTGTTAGCTCTCTCACCCGTTTTCCCTATCTATTTGACTCCTTTGACGGGAAACACAGGAAGAATTGTTGTGCTTCTAATGAACACTTTCAGCGTCACTTACCGCATAGTTCTTCAGTAACCAGTCGGCGACGTTTACAATGACAACCATCTCTTTCGGAGACAAGCCACGTAACATGTCGGAATCTATCACCCGGTCGAATCACTTCATCAGTTGACCGACTAAACTTATCGATTTCGCGAGTCTGACACGGTCCCTCAGCTATCAACCGTTTTTCTTCTGGGCACTGGACAATTCGTTGTCGTACACGACGTCGGACCAGACACAAACATCCTTGCGGGTCGAATTTGTGCTCCACTCGGAACAATCGGAAAAGACCCTCCTGTGGATGACAAAGTGCGTGGTATTTTACTTTGGGACAGGAACACGCACAGCGGTGCTCGGATACAGTTTTGCGACATTCGCACTTCTCCATTCGATTTCGAACACGTTTCACAAGACGTGTGTGAGCGATTGGGTCGCATGGGCCGCTAAAATTACGATGAACCACAACGCAATTATAAATCGTAGTGTTTCATTACAAAAATTGATTCTGCAAAAGCTATTATTAATTGTTGTTAAGGTCATCCTCCAACTTGCTTTCTATGGAGCACGCACTTATATTTGATGTTCACATCTATAGTACAATAATTGCAGATCAGAGGAGAGGGGTCGTCCAAATTATGGTTATAACTCAAAGATAGTGATGTTTAGAGGACAGTAGAAGTCTAAGCCTGATTGAGTCTTTCCCATTTTATTTTAGTTGCGGCGGAGGACAGAACCGATGGGAATTCGGTTCGTCCGCATTCTTGTTCAAAGCTTCAATTATCCTGTCAACTTTTGTTTGAGATACCTGCATTATACTGTACACTTTCAGCCAAACAAAGATCTCAATCTGCCTATCTTGATTATTTTGAAATAAAAGTATCGTTTGAAGGCTCACTTTTTCACTGAGTGTGAAGCCGTATTTCTGTTTTGTGTTTGACACTATTATTATCGTCAGTTNCACAGAGTAGAGAACAAGCTCGTTTGCGATGATTCTTCTACAGGCTAATACATCGTGATTTATATCAAACTCTTTAAAATGGGGGAGAAATCATGACAGGTTGAAAAATAAATAATTAACATTTAATTTCCATGACCAGATGTTGCTAACACTTTGCTCCTCACACATGCGCACTGGTTCGGGTCGTTAGGGGTGGGTGGTGGATGACTGTGTCGTGTGTGGTGTTGACCATGGAAGACCGAGTGTTCTTATTTTAGCGTATCTGTAATATGTTATGGTATGGAATACTACTACAAAACTCCGCAACCCATATTCCAAATATCAACTGTTGGAATGTGAAATAGACCTCCAGGCAGCATCAGACTCACTTGATCACCTCTTCCGATGGACCACAAACCACCGGTTGCATTTCGATCCTTTGTCTCGGCTTGCACTCCCCGTTCACAATTGCTTGCTGCTCATGTATGATTCTCAGTAAAGCTGGTTTATTCGGACTTGCGGGTTCGCATTGTTTGATCAAATGTTCTGGACCACAACGACACGCCTCGGTGACACGTAGTCCACGAGCTTTGGCTGCGGTGTCTGTCAAACGATGCCATTCACACTGACAGCGTCGCGGACGTTGTTGGAGCCAGAACACACGACGTCGATTGGGAATATCTCGATCGCACACTCCGCGGATCATCTTCAGTTGATTGGAACAAACTGAAATGGTTTATCACGGAGCAGAAAGAGAGAGGAACAGCATCCGGTTACGGCTGATCTTGCTTTTGACAAATTCATGACCAAGAATACATAGATGGGTACAAAATATTCAACGAGCAAGCAAGGAGATGGGAAATTTGAACGATACTTGCTTTTGGGAAACGCAAGTGTGTTGGAAGTATCCGAGTGAAGAATTCACTACGCAAGACGAATGTGAAATTATTTGCTTACCAACAGGCTCTTCCCGTTTCTCAACAAGTCGTTTGCAATGTTTTCCCACATTAATCCAACGTGTGCGCTCAAATACCTTGAGTTGGCCGTTCGGATGACAGAACTCACGTTCCCGTGCTGGATAGCGCGCGGTGCAGTCGCATATCCAAGAACGCTTTTTCACAACTGGTCGACATTGGCACTGATCCACTACCCAGTAGCGCATAATCTCGTTTTGAATGAATTGAGTCTGCGGGGAACACTTAGACCGTAGTAGACGAGCCAATGGACAGCCTGAAATTGATACGACAATAGAAACCAGTAAAAGTGGAGAGGTCGCTGAAATCTGTGACCCGCTCGAGATCGCAGTTTATTTGAACAAGCAAAGAGGGTCCCTATAAACTGGCAAAGATCAATCATTCTGTATCACGGAGGAACACGTTAAGCTAGTTCAGTTCTAACCTTCGTTTTATCACTATTTTGTATACAGCATTGTTTAAATAATTAATAAAATTTTGGATTTTTTTTCAGTCGTGCATTTTTGTCAAAATATATATTTATGTGATTCACGGTCTCTGTATGAGCAATATTCTTGTTATTAAACTCTTCACCGTTTGGCAATTGCAATTACTAATCAATTACTTGCCCCGTGGTCCTAATTCCACGATCATCTGGTCCGCGGGACTCCCGTTAGGTTTCTCATTTGTAAAAAAAGTCATTTATTGGCCAACATACAGTAGTAGAAAGCAATTTAGTCCGTTTTGAAGCTCGTCAGCAGTGCGCCCTTTTTTGCATGTCTCAGGTGAGTCTCTAACCGCGAACTTTCGGATTGGGAGCCGAAACAGTTATCTCTAACCTCCCCAAGTGAATCTCTACACTCTGAACATTTGATTTTAGCAATTAATTAAGCTTATTTCTGGTTAGCTCATAAGAATGTGCAGCTGTTGTGGTCATTATGTTACTGCTACTGCATGGGTTTCATTTCTTTGGAAGTTCTTCACACACACACACACACACACACGCTTTCTTCTTGCATTCTACTAATGATACGGCTTAATGCATAAACTCTGAAACGTTTGAACTTGTATGGGCAAAAATGAGAGGATGTACCCTTTTTTCAGTTCGGAAAATCATTTAAACTATACGAATAGCAGGGTGGACTAGTGAACAACTCACGAACTGGACTGGGACTCCTCATCACATGACGTTCGCAAGTGTTCAATTCCGAATTCAGTTGATGTGAAATCCTTTGTCTCACTAGCAGTTTTCCATCCATACAAATAGTCGATTCCTCCGGTGCGGGGCAGCCACAACGTCTTCGACGAGCCTCGAGTACAACAGGTTCGCATTTCACAGGATTCATTCTCAGGTCGGTTGAACGTAATCCTGGCGGTCTCGGGACTGGAACAGCACGCAACCCGATCCATTTGTCTTCGGCCCAGAGATCCTCACCGCAGGTGCCTTTCACATGCTGAATTTGGTTTGGACAACCTGGGTTGAGAAAATAGAATGAGATTGTTAGATTAAAACGAAATCTTCCGCACTCCTGGCTCATTGTTCCAAATTAAATTATAAACTCTACCTGCTATTTATTAAATTTAAGTTACTCGTCTTCTGTTCGTACACTGTAGATACATTTACTTTTTTTCTGGTTGACTTCTTCTTACATCAAAAAAACCGCCACTTCAGTTATACTGTAAACAATAACTTCTCAGATCAAAATTCACTTGCAAACTGAGGAATTGCGCATATCTTGTCAGTCATTAGAGTGAAAGTAAATCGATCTATTTTATTTCTCTTTCCTGTCTATTCATTGTGATTGGCCATCCTTTAGATTTATCCTTCAAGCACAGTCATCATTTATTCAACTAAATCACACACTCTGGAAGCACAAGATTAGACTTTCGGTCTTGTGGAGCTAAGCACCGTTCCGTTCCGGACATCGGCTCTTGACATCGCATAGAAGGTAAGTGCGTGATACTACTGCGACTACCAGCATACATAATCTGGGTTGGCCAGAATTACCAACTCAAACTTGTTCATAGGTCAATATCAGAAATATTCAGACAGTTGGTGACCGAATAGCTACCAGCGGAGAGGAACCATACAACTTGTTGTCCCCGATCGAAGCATCTAGACGGATCAGTCCTTCTTTCTTTACAGGTTCAAGTTTTCATAACGTGCAAAGCCAGGTGTAATTTTCACTTTCAGTCTAAAATTACTTCTGAGTAGTATAGTTAAATACGTGCTATTCCTGAGTGGATTAGTGGACCAACAGCGAACCAATGCTACTTACCACATCGTATTCGGAAATGTCGGGCCCGAGACTGTTTGCATTCACAATTCTTCACAATCGGTTCCTGCACGGATACCAGATGGAACTGACCATCACAAGGGCGTATGCGAATTCGATGGTGTCGAGGACCGCAGTAAACGGGAACTGTCTTATCCTGATTGAATGCCCGACAGAATGCGACTGCACGTTGCGATCCACGATCAGCGCGTTGTAACTGATAGGTTGTTTCACGCTGTGTGAGAATATTTCGCACCGGATCACAGTACACAGGTTGCACTTGTGGTCGAGGGCAACAACACGGCTCAAGACTTCGTTTCCTGTATTGGAGAGTAAAATAGCACGAATTATTTACGTGAACATCGCCAAGTTGCTGCTTCTTTCGTCGAACTCATTTCACATTTAACTTCATGGTTTTCTTTTCCAAATTTAAAGCTAAAAATCGATTTATAAGCTTTGAAATGTTTCGGAGGAATAGGACAGCATAATAAATAACGAAAGACCTTCCTAGGAGATGAGTAATCGTAAATGGTGAAGTGATCATCCCAGGCTCAATTATCAGTTAAATCCTTTGTGTATAACATAATAATGCTGGAAAGCCGAAGTCTTACAGTTCATCAGTAGTAATTTAATCGATGTAAGCTAATGAACCAATGCAAAACGTAGAGAATTTATGTGGCCTACCTTATCCAAAGTGAATAATAGAAAAAAGATTGATTCAAGATCAGTATCACCAACTCTCCTCTAACCATGAATGTTCTACTTTTTCATTTACTTTAATAACGACAATAATCACATTGAAATGATTCTCGTTCTTCCTATTACTTAACATGGCATAGTCTAAATAACTTTCAGTAAGGGGAGGAGATGCTGCCGTTTAGGCAACACCATGGGGGGCAGAATGGGAAAAGGCATAAATCTCCCGATTACCCAACAAGCAACAAGCACACCGGAGGGCTAGAGTGCATACTTTTTATAATCATTGCTTCAACCGAGGTACTTTGTAAAATCAAACAGTTTCATTGTATTTCACAAAGAACAGTTCTATTGGAGAACATAACTGTGTTGCTCTTTATTAGATTTTGATTCGAAAAAGGAAAACAATATGTATGTAGATAAGATTATGAAGATAGCATCAGAATGCGGCAGTGAATGACCAATGTGATATTGTGATGGAAGGCAGCACAAACAGAGTCCTGGTTAGCGATCGAATTAAGAATGGGGCTCATCCGACCAGACGCGCAGACGCAGTGGCGGGAAGTGCCTCGCGAGACAATGTTGACTGCCACCCGAAACGAGCGAATCGACAACTACAGCCCGACAGACAATCCGCAGCTAACGGGAAAGATACCCACCGAATGCCACAATTTCGGAGCTGTCGATCAAAACATCTCGTGCCACGATCGAGTTAAACCAGTCGGAATGGCACGCAGAAGAAAAGGCAGCGTACGTGCCAAGTGCGGACCAAAACCAACAAGGAATGACCCACAGAAACAGGCATGAATCATCCCGCCGAGCGGGTGAGAATTGACTGTATATAATCGAACGCATACACTGTTTGCTTTGGAATTGGATCAATAGACGTTTTTCCCAGCCCGCTCGCCTTCTCACTGCAATAAGTTTGATGTTCACGTTCCGCAGAATCTTTCATATTGTGAACATGACTTTGTACGTTTAAAAGTCCACTGGTCATACCGTATTCCGAACCTGAATTTTGCAAACTTTGAACGGATAATCATCAATCCAAACCAAAATGATCACAAAAAATTGGAATGTTTTTTATTGCTTTTGACTAGCCAGATCTGATCGTTGCGCACAATCTCCAGTTTATTTAGGGAACTATAGACATGAAAAGCATAGAAATTGAGCTTCGTTCTTGTTTGAGATCAGCAGTTGTGCATAATCACCAGCCCGCTCAGTGTTCGAAACCTGGAATAATACCATGGTTGCTGTGTTTGTTGCCAGGACGTTCGAAAGGGACTGATAAAAATTACCAGGTTGTCAGTTACACCTGTTCTCTTTATTGAAAGCCAGTTAGCTTCTAGCCCTGACCAAAGAGTCTTTTCCATGTAGACAAATTATGGAGAATGCATAGTACAAAGCTGAACAATACGTATATTGTGCCAAATTGTGAATAATTGTGAATCAAAATGTACAATCTTAACAAAATTACACATTTTTGCTGCCAAATGACACCATGTAAAGTATAGGTTTTATTGATACTGTATTAGTCGGATTCTCGGCATCTAAAACGAAGCAGATTCTTTAGGGACTACCTCCATCCTCAACGGAAAGAGTGTTCCATGAAAGCATGCATTATTGAGTGGACGGGAATGCGTTATTTACTCTTCTATGTTGCAATTCACCATTCTCTAATTACCTAGTGTAGTTCATTATTCACTGGACAACGGGAGTATAAATGGCAAGATTCTGATGAAGTAATGCACAATCAAATCACCTTAAGCGTCGAAAAACTGAATCATTTGCTTGAACAAAAGGCAGTTGATTTAACCGATTTCTGTTATCTACCCGTGATGCAACCAAATCAATACTTTCAAAAAATGCCCGATTACAAAAATATGGTTTTAATAGACAGCAGCTATTGCAACTACTAATACATAAGGTGGTATTTGGATGTGACTTGTGCATATCCGTTATTTTGGATAATTTTCCAAAACCGGTTGCCATTGCTCTGCCTTCAACACGAGTTATTCCGTTTAGTTTTCAATTTTTACAACCAATTAACATGCAAATTTGTGCGATGGTTTCGGTTGCTGTCTTTAGGGATTTCATTTAGACTAGGGTTGAAAGCCGAGTTATACACTGAGTGTAGAGTCTAGTTTGCAATCAGTTCAAGCTATGACTTAAATAAGTATTTCATTAGTTAGTACTTCGGTTTCTGAGTCGCACTGTGATTCCGCTCAAGCTCAGATGGCGTACACACCGTGGTAGCGACTTCAGGAGATGTGTTGATAAGCGAAAAATGGTAGGCGTAAACCATAGAAGGNTTGAGCATTACATGGGCTTGGCAGCTCTGATGATGTTAGTGAGACAGCTCGAAAGGATACTAAGCTGGAAGCGCCACCCGGACATCTTGAAATAATACTCGGACAACTTGAAATGCAAAGGGTATAGTGCGTGGCTCAAAACTCTGACCTTTGAAGTTGACATTTGCAGTGGACCGGCCAAAATCGATAATCCCATCGTTCAGCCAGACATGTATCTGGGTTACACGGTCCCACTTTGTATCCGGGTAGGCGCGATTGATGCCTGTTACAAGGGTTCCGTTCGTGAACCTTGTGAATAGGTCGGCAACCGTCTGGAGCCAGTTCGAACCGCGTATGTCGAATGAGTAATCGATGTCCATGATCCACACAGACAACGAATTTTCGTGGTTCCGGGCATTCTGCACGATAGATAAGAAGAACCAAATACATTGGATAATAAAATGTTCTGAGCAGCATATGTCGCCTACAGTGAAATATTACCGTTTCCTGTTCCTCAGAAGTCATACACGGACATCGTTATACAACCAGAGGGCAATGCATGCTCACGTAAGAGTTGGATAATCATAATCTCGACAATAACAATTTCGACCGGTTTATCAATGTGGTTGATTTCACGTTCTACTTTTCATCAACAAACTTTATTTTTTCTCCACCATTTTTTCGACTTACAACGAGCGAAGGTAATACAATTGCTACGTATTAAAATAGTAACAACTTGGCAAACTCTCGGCGTGACTCATGAACGCTTGCTGATGTTGGAATCATACAATACATTTATGTTTCTTTAAATTGTTTATTTCGTGCCATCATAGGATGTGTCTTTATCCATTTTGTCTCAGGTAGCTTCACCTTCGTTTGAATCAATATGGAGTCTGCCTAACGGGTTATATTATGTAATTCGTCAATTCAAGTCTCAAGTATAAAATCGAGAACTTCACTCTACCCTCAAACAGTTCACACACATTTGGACTGAACCACCTAGACATGTGCTCATAACACAACGCGGCACACACAATGTAACGACTTGATTTTCGTAAACAGTACTCGGTTGAACCTCATTCACATTCTCTATGTCACTGTATCTCTGTTGTTGATCAAACTTCTAGGACAAGGGAACAGGTTGCACTAAACGATATTTCGAGGAAACATTTGGTAGCCTCATAAAACTTGAATCAAGAGTGGAGTTTACCCGATTCAGAATTTACACTAGGAAGAGTGTGATCTGAATTCATAGTGGTCGGTAAAGATTTCTGGGAACATCGCTGTAGGTCCCTACTGCCTCATGAGTCATACTTGATTATCCTCCCTCTAAAAAAAACCGTGCAACATAAGGTTCGCTCCGCGCACCGAATTCCAGCAAAACTTCATCAGCTCTCCAGGAAGGAGGCTAATAAAATGCAAAAAGCCAGGGTAATACCAAGTAAGTTAAAATTAGTAAAATTATATTTAGAGGCTTTGGAATACTTGTAGTTCACTCGGTGAAAACCAGCTTACGTGTACCATCACACATAAATAGCGCCCAACACCATCACGGAACACCTGGGACCTTTCAACCTCGACACAGTTATTCCGTTAATGCACTACCCTACCTTCGATCTACAAATCTTCATCTAATAATTGTAGCACTAACCTTGCCCGATCGCTTCACACGAATTCTGAATACCGTTCATAAAAATCAGTTTGATTGCGTATCGTGTTGCTTTGGTGGAGTGGGCCTTTCTTTCATCAGCAGCGCATGTGAATATGCAGACTTGATATTGGGTTATCTGATAGGTTGACACCTACAATACGCTCGTAAGCACAAACACATGCAGGCACACTGACCAAGTGAAGTATACGCAAGCCAGTAAGACTTACTGCAGAAGCGCTCGACAGATTTTGTTGGGACCCAGACACACTGACATCCAACAATGCGTCGCTCCAGTCGGTCCACACGGAACTTCCCGATACCACTCGGTTCGACTTGACAAGGAGTTATCCGCTCCCTCACTTCCGGTGTGCAGGCTGGTTAGGAAGAGAACGATGAGGAGTTGGCAAATGAATAACCGAAAAATGTGACACCAAGTTTCAGAGATTGTCATCATTTGTATTTAGATAGACTCGATTAGTTATGGGGTACCGCTTTAGCCGTACTTATTCCAGAGAGATACCCGTTAGACCACTATCGGCTCACTTTGGCTCAATCTACTTTAGCGAGTTCTTTACCCCGATAAAGTGACCGTCATGTCAAAACCAGCGGGAATCTGACAGATCCTTGGGAATTGAAAAAGCAAAGAGCCGGAGGGGGCTCAAATCGTTGGGCATACATGTGAGCGACGTCGTTCGAAGTGTGCACTCAGAAAGAGTAGTTTGTCATTCTCATGGCGGGATTTCAATGTAGACATGATTGGAAAATTGTATTGAATGATATGATCTGTCTCCGTATGTCTCTCTGATTTTGTCGACGGTTAATGACACATTATTCTTGAGCTCACTGATGACGCCATTCTGTGACCTATGATTATAAACCACCATGGACAGGAATCGTGGACTCCGGGTCCGAATTCAAGCGACCGTCAACAATTGCAACCGGATCATATTTTGTAAACTGTTTTGGTTGACCAAGTGCAGGCAACTAAATACTTTTGGTACCATTAGTGGATGATCAATAACCACCACGGAATTATGAACGCTATTATCAAACATTCCTGAGAACAATCGTGACAGAAAGGTCTATCTCAATGTGAAAACATTTCATAATGAATTAGCCAAGAGCTACAAACAGACTAAGTACAATTGTGGATGCTTGATCTGTGTGATTGGTGTATAGATAGATAGATAGATAGATAGATAGATAGATAGATAGATAGATAGATAGATAGATACTAGATAGATAGATAGATAGATAGATAGATAGATAGATAGATAGATAGATAGATAGATAAAAAGATAGGATAGATAGATAGATAGATAGATAGATAGATAGATAGATAGATAGATAGATAGAGATAGATAGATAGATAGATAGATAGATAGATAGATAGATAGATAGATAGATAGATAGATAGATAGATAGATAGATAGATAGATAGATAGATAGATAGATAGATAGATAGATAGATAGTAGATAGATAGATAGATAGATAGATAGATAGATAGATAGATAGATAGATAGATAGATTGATTGATTGATGGATAGATAGATAGATAGATAGATAGATAGATAGATAGATAGATAGATAGATAGAGAGATAGGTAGATAGATAGATAGATAGATAGATAGATAGATAGATAGATAGATAGATAGATAGATAAAATATAGATAGATAGATAGATAGATAGATAGATAGATAGATAGATAGATAGATAGATAGATACTAGATAGATAGATAGATAGATAGATAGATAGATAGATAGATAGATAGATAGATAGATAAAAAGATAGGATAGATAGATAGATAGATAGATAGATAGATAGATAGATAGATAGATAGATAGAGATAGATAGATAGATAGATAGATAGATAGATAGATAGATAGATAGATAGATAGATAGATTGATATAGATAGATAGATAGATAGATAGATAGATAGATAGATAGATAGATAGATAGATAGAAAACGGTTAAAAAATTAACCTCGCATACTTTGAAGCAAATAGGTGTGCTTGTGTGTGTGGCTTCAGATAAAATCTGGGCTGTAACAAGTTATTTCATAGGGAGAAATCGTCGTCTATGAAACAAATGAAGCGGGGACTGAAAAGCTATGAAGCACTGTGCACGACGAATTTGAATTGAAGCAAATCATATAGTAAATGAAGTGAATGAATGAATGCCAACAGGAGGTAGAGATAGTTATAAAGATTTTGGTTGGAATGGTAACGGGATGCTTTGCGAATCACTGTTTAGTGAAGGATTATCCGCTTGCTAACACGTGAATACATGCGATGAAAGTGTGATTGTGTACCTGTTCTTCTTTGAAGCTCAGAGGGCATTTGAAGATTTCAACTAGTACTACAGTACGCGTCTGAGTATTAACCATTAGAACCATATGAAGTTAAATGAAACCATCTGATGCGGAATTTATTTAACTGACAGAGATGATTATCAACTAAAGCCAGCGGATATTTTATAACGTTTACTGATGTGGATTGCTGGTTATTTATTCTTTAAGTGAGTATCATGAAACTTCCATTCATCTGGATGGAACTCAGCGATGAGATGAACCAATTTCATATTCGTCCCTGAAATATGATCTAATCTTAGTAATTTTTAGTCATCTTCATCTACCGTCGGTCAGTGTTTCCGTGTGATTAGTTATATGTATGAACCTGCATGAATTACAAAAAACTAACTCGAATTACATTCTACCTTAGATTTACTGTATTCTGTATGACCTTGTCGACAGAGGTTTTAATCAACAGCTTACTGAGGAAATAGGGTCTTTAAAGTGTGCCGGGTGATTCGTAACACTTCCTATCCCTATTTCTTGACTTGCGCCTCAGTAACCAAATAAAATCCGTACCGGGGAAAAATTAAAAAAGTGAATTAAGCAACTTACGAATGTTGACAGTGTAGAGTGCCATGCCTGGTATACAGCTGTGACCCTGTAAAGTCCAGAACAAATGTTTGATCTCCAATTCACCGTGGCGGAGACATCTTTTCAATCGTCTTTCGTCACGGAGCAAATTGCAATCTGGAAAAAAGTGCAAAGCACGTAGCACACTATGGATCAAAATAATCAAGTTTTTTTTTAACTCTTGAACTCGACCCGAAATTTCGTTTTGGTGAATTCTAGGGAAAACCTGTCGGAGCAGACATTAATTTGTGGATTCCACATGACTTTTTAAGTTGGGTGAGTGATCCGAACATCAAAATATCATTGCTGTCGGTGAGGCCTTGTAGCTCGGTTGGTAGAGCGTGGGTTGTACAAAATGCGTAGACTGCTTCCATGTTTGGCTACGAATCCCACCAAGGCCACTCGTCTTTTCACAGTGCAAATATAAAACTGTTTTCATCTCATTATTTGCCAAACATTACGTGAACGAAAATGCAAGTTGATTTATCAGTTGTAGAAAACAGTGAAGATTTTGGATGAGTGTTTGTTTTGGATCTAGAAAAGTGATAGTCTTGCAAACTGAAGATCTCACACGCCTCTGTTTTAAAACAGAGCATGGCTCCCAGATCTAAATTTTCGCCGGGTTTAAAATAAATGGTTACATGCGAACTAGCCATCACGACGAGACTGCACCTTGATGTGGTGTGATGGCTTGTGTACCTCTATGACCCAACGAGCTACACAGGATGNTACCGAGCCAAAGATTTAATCATGCCTGGAAGGTCAATGGG